GCCTATTTAGGACTAGAATTATGCTCAAAATATTGAAAGAGATAATAGGATTTGGTTTGATGTGTAACTCACAGATGGTTCCATTGCATAATCTTTTATGAAATGAATAAAATGAATCACATCTACACAAACAAATGTCCTTCAGGTGTTTGTTTATTTATGTTGTTGTTGTTGTTGTTCACATATCAGTGATCCATCTGATCTTTGATGATGGTGATGTGAAGACAAAGGTGCTTTCAGGGACTAATGTTAATAAACATATAAATATCCAACCTTCCAAACTGCCGATGAGCAAAACAAACATTTACTTGATTTCAAACTGAACTGTGCCTCTCCAAATAAAGTATGCATTTTTACTGTTAAGACTTGAATATTACTGTGGCATTTTTGTTAAAACTGATGAAATTATCTTAGCATTCCAAAATAATTAACTTTCTCACAAGATTTATTCACTATTAGATTGGAAAACAGTCGGCAACACTGTTTTATAAGTTGGATAGTTAAATATAATTATTAATCAATAATTTCAAACAAAAATCAAATCCAGTTAATGTGTTAAAGTGATGGCGATGTGCTGTTTTCAGAGATCTATCTTCGAATTTTGGAGTATTGATCAGCAAAGGCAAGCAACTGATTATTTCACATCAGGCTTTTAGAAAATTGTGTTGGTCATATTTAACTCATTACTGACATTTCATTGGCCGAAGGATACATTGATTAATTGTGAAAGAAAAAAAAGAAGATAAATCAATGACAGAAATGAGTTGCAGCCAGAACAAGAGTCTAAGCTGCTGGCTAAACGTGACTTTAAATAATAAGATATTTTCATAATAATTACCAAGTGTAGACATAGATCCCTATTTCCATCCCTTTTTACCAGGCAGCATGCCAGCTACCAACACACCAGTAAACCCTTCCTCTCAGCGCCCATGCGGTGAGGTCCCCCCCCGCCCCCCCCACCGGACCACTGTCAGGGGGAATCTCCTTCAAACCCCTGCTGCTGCCTGGCCTGGCATCGCCTCACGCTGCCTCCGCACATATGCATGTCATGTGGTGTCAGCGACCAAGGTGTGCTCTGATGTTATGGGGCCTGATGGTAGCATATTCCCTGCTGATAGCCGTGATTGCCAAGCCCAGGTATAGCTCTGAGAGCGTGTGTGTGTGTGCCCTGTGAGCCCGCCCTTCATGTTATGGGACTATGCCCGAGCTGACTGGTTAGCCCCCCTGCACCCCTGTGAGTCCGCAGTGAGGATTCAACATGGCAGCGGCAGGTTTACCAGGCTGCTGACCCTCCTCCCTTGTTCTCTATGCTCTATTTCACCTGGTCCTCCATCCCGTTGCCCATGTTTCTTCTTGCCCGTCTTCCACGTAACTCTCCCATTTTTCCACGTGGCTGAGCTCGGAGGAGAAGGGGGTGACTCACACCCGGTGGCTGCACAAAGGATTAGCGCTCCGTTGCTATATTTTGCATCCCCCTGTTCAATTTGAGTGAGTTCCTGGTGGGAGGGGGATGCAACATGGAATCCCTCCCCACCAGGGATTTGTGAATAGGTTTTCTAATATACCGGATATATCATTTTTTTTACTAAATAATACAAAAAGATGTAGAGACCACCGGTGAATGTAAAAAACATCCACCAAATCCACCAAAGTTATTCAGATTAGGCCAAGTATGAGTTTTCCCACTTGTATTAAAAACAGCGCTGAGTAATATTCAAGTTAGTTGTGATTTAATGTGACATTTAGTAGATTCTCCACCGGCACACGGCGCAGACCAGGCAGCACCCACGGGAATCTCCTCTCCTGGCACACGGTTAACATTCCCCATTTGTCCGGCACTCTGTAATTTATTGGATCTCATCCGTCCAGGCTTTGATTTATATATTGATTTGAAAAATAAATAAAAGTGATAGGAACCTGCACTGGGGTGTAATGATGGACTGTGTCGACATGCAGGAGCAGGGATATGAAACATTGGGAGGAAATTAGATATTATGCCCCCAAGACAACTGCAGCCAGCAGCACATTCATTATTGGCTAGATATTTATTATTAAAAATTTCTCTTCATGAGTGACTGCTGCGGAATATTTCGGCCCTGCTCGAGCTGCCAAATGGTGTCAGTGAGGGTGTGTGTGTGTGTGTCTCTGCAGTATCTATATCCGTTTGTATGCACAGGCACAAATGTTTGCTGTCGTGGTGTCGGAGGAGGCTGACAAGCTGAATGCAAGATTTGGTTTGTCATGTGTTAGACTCTCTATAGTAACACACACACACACAATGCAGTACAAACCACTCGGGTAAAACTGGAACATGCATGCAGTACATGTTAATAACTCAGTCTCAGAAACAGTCTGCAGCTATTAGAACCCGACTTATGGAAACAGCGTGGGAGAAACACCCCAGAACACAGGAGACAGCTGTTAGAAACTTCAACTCCCTGCCAGGACGTCCACCGCTCTGCACCAGCTTTAATCACAGCGCAGTGAATTTTTAAACATCAGTATAGAAAGGGGGCCGCTGTCCAAGCCTCCAGAATCTTATTTCTTTTTTTTTTTCCCTCCCACACCCCCTCTCCGCTCTAATCCACTTCAATTATGTTTCCTCCCATTTCTCCTGATCACTTTACAGCTCAGCAGCACCTGTGCTAATTGTGGCGCCGATGATTGCTGATATGTTTTGCATCCTTAAAGGAGTTTGCGAGGGGGGCGACAGATAAACATCTAGCCCGCGGGGCTTTTGGAAAGCGTGGCTCCGCCGAGCAGATGGCCATCGTATTATATGAGCAGAGCTCCTCGCAGAGGCCGGGGTACGGGTGGGTGGGGTGTAATGAGTCTGAGGTAAGAGGAGGAGGAGGAGGAGGTGCTCATGTGCAGAGGAAGGAAGGAAAGGAGGAGATTTAAAGGGAAAGAAAGAGATAATCCATGTGTGTGGGAACTGGACAGAGGAAGAAAGCAGGAATTATTGGCGTATACATCAAGACCGTAATAGCTATTTTAATGCTTTAACACTTTAGGAAACGTGCATTTTTCCTTTCCTGTTTGGAGTTGAACGAGAAGATCATTCATTTGTTCGCTCAACTCAGCAAGAAAGTGAATATGTGTAGGGCCCAAAAGACCGATTTGAAAATAAAAACTGTATTTAATCAAACAACTGACTCCCTTCAAGTGTCACATGCGCTCACTGTTTGCCTGTGTGTGCACCAAGGACGATGGGGATTGTGTGTGTGTGAACTACTGTGTATCCCTCACCTGGTCCCTTCCTGCCCCCACTGAACTCATTGCGCGCGTAATGAATGGGCTGCCAGCCCTCCCTGCTGTGGGTATCTGAGGTCAGGCCACATATTACACAGCAACCTATCGGAAGTGGACCGCATATTGTACAGCAGCCCAATTTGTTGGGATGATGAGCTCTGGACACCCCACATTATTTATTAGGAAGGGCCACAGCCACCAGGTTATGGTGTGTGCGCCTGTGTTCCACACATTTCACCACCTTATTGAAGACACTTTAAGTCACTTAATAATAAAAAATGAATTAATGTGTTTTGTCTATAACAGCTGACTTCAGTGGATGGTCGATCCCTGCGCGGCTTTAAAAAATGGTCCAAATCCTCAGCGTTCTAACAGGGGTCAGCGTGCTTGGTCAGGTGTGTTCTGCTGGTGCTAAAAGACAAATGATGTACTTTGCCTTGGGTCAACTGGGCTCTCCCATCCCATAATGACCTTTCAGGGAGCTCGAAGAGAACAGGCGTTCCCATGGCGATGCAGCAGCCCTCGCACACTGCATCAAACGGCAAAGAAATGTTTTAACGCTGCAACGTGACCTCTCAACCTCTAATGGGACTGTTCCGCTGTGAATCAATCACATGGAAACAGTCGCTGAGCTAAAAATAAATAAACAAACAAACAAAAGGCCTCCTGAAGAAAGTGTTTTCCGAATTTCGTGTTTGTGTGAAACCAGAATCTGCAGCCAAAGTCATTTTCTGTTTTCAATTGAGTTACGTCCTCCCAGTATGTTCAACACTCACCACTTTGCTTTGGAAGGAAAACCGAGCAGATCTCAGTGTGTGTTCGTGTGTGTGTCTGTGTGTGCGTGTGTGTGTGTGTGTCTGTACTGCCAAAGCTTCCCTGGAGGAGAGAGGATCTCTGTCAGTTTGTCATCAGACACAAGCTGCCAAATTTGATGAAATACCAAATTACTAATTGGCCCAGCGTTAGGTTTCCCGCCTGGAAGTGAAACAGTAATATCTGTGGCTCCATTAGGATCACAGAGAGAGACGCACTGAGCGGCCTCCCGCAGAGCTGGCAAGTCTCGTTCATTTCACACCGCAAAACGGCAATGACACTCACACACTCCTGTAGAGGGGTCGCCAAGGACAACAGACTTCTAAAAAGATCTACTGGTTGATACAAGCCTCGGTGATTGGGCGTCAACGCTGGAATCCTGTTGAAGGGCGCTGAGACAGAGAGGATTCTGGGTCCGAGGTTACTCAAGATACTTTGCGTACGTTGAGGAAACTTCTCCTAAAAATAATCCATTTAGGACAAAATCTCTGAATGGACCAGCAGAAGACAATTTGCTGCTGAATAACCAGGTGGGAGCGTCTTCATTTAGAGTGAATGACACACACACACACACACACACAATTCAAATGAATTGGGCTACCTGGGCTAAGTGAAAACGGCTCTTTATTTTTCGTCTGGCACTATCATCTTTTTTTAGGATTCCTAATCAAACACGCCCAAGGCCACTGGATGGATAAACACACACTTTCATACAAAAACAAAAAAAACAATACACACTCAGTTTGGCAACATTTTAACTCTTCCCTCCAGCAGTACAAGTTGTGCTTAGACATATATATATATATATATATATATACATATATATATATATATATACACACATATACATATATATATATATATATATATATACACATATACATACACACACACATAATCATATGGCTAATTATATATAAAAAAACTGACAGTGAGATTGTTCAGTTTTAATATTTAATGTGAAAAAAAAGAAAGTATACCCTTTCACCACAACACAGTGTAGAGAATTAGGGCAGCTGACAATGTACACTGGAGCAAATATCTCCATATTCCCCAAAATGTCCCCACATAATCACAGATTGTAAGAATTAGGGCACAACCAGTTATAGATTACCAATAAACTACAAAAAGAGAAGCCACCTTCATTAAGACAATGATTATGTAAAACAAAGCTCCCTATTTCTGGCACATGCGGGGGGGGCAAATATGCCCTTTTATCATTAGTGTCCCTTCATTTCAGCCATGACAGGATTACATGACGCTATGTACTCTTTTCTCCAACCACTCAAGGTTTACAAGTCATTTCGGGTGCAAAACTCTGCGTTTTGGTGAACTAAGGCGCCGTCTTCCCTTGAGAAAAGTCCTCAGTGTTGTCCTCCATGTCGGGGACGTTTGTCTGGGGACTGAAGCTTCGCTTTTGGGAAAAAAAAAAAAAAAAAGAAAAAAAAAGCAGCCACAACCATTGATCCCCTTGTTAAAACTAGTTTTTCCCCCTTCAGTTTGCTGCAGTTTGAGTAATTTGAGCCGGTTCCAGTGACGTACCGGCACGTGGTGATGAGACACAGCCGCTCGGTCACCCGTCCTAGTTTACTTATTAGTGTGCGTTCTTTTATTTTTTTTTTCTCTTCAGGCTGATTGCCGCTCACACCTCGTATTCCCGTCCTCGGCGCTCTGGGCGGGTTCCTCTGCACGCCGTGACAGGCGGCCCGACTCTACGTCTGAACGGACACAAACAGTCTGCCAGCGACCGGCAGGACCTCCGCTACGCCCGGGTGGGGTGGGGGGCCCCCTCCTATACGTTTTGGGAGAGAAGTCGGACCTTCTTTCCTGCCAGCAGCCAGCCCCTGACGTCGCCGATGGAGGGGAGCTTCATTTTCTCTCTGTTTTTACTGTAAACATTCAAGAAGATGCCAAAGAGCACCAGCAGGCCGCCCCAGATGTACCTGAGGAGGGAGAAGCGGGGAGGTTAGAGCTTTTTCAAAAGGAGACGGCAGGGGGCCGATTAGCGTGTATGTAATAATTGGATGCACGCAGTATGAAACAGAGTTCAACAAGATGCCCGTGGAAAAGGCAGATTCTGATAATCACGCCTTTTGGTTGAAAACGTGTAAACTGCAGCCATGAAAGAGACGGCGAGTCCAGCAACGCTGGAAGGAGAAGGCAATCTGGCAAAAGATGCACATGTTTTCTTTTTTGTGTCTTGTATGTGGAGTGCGCGTGCGTGTTTGAGTACACGTGTGGAGAAAGTTACGAGAGACAAGAAATAGCAGGAGAGGTAGAAGACAAAAAGCCCTTTGAACGCACAGAGGAGTTGGAGGGCGAGCGAAGTACAAGGGGAAAGAGCAGCGGATCAGTCGAGGTCTTGAAACTGGAATGAGGACGTGCACCAGGGGGCAGGGGAGCCAAATCAAGTTTGAGTAGTCGAAAGGAGAGTGGAGACTTTCTTCAAACCAGAAGACAACGCAATCAGTCGAAAAAAGGTGGGCGGACTTACTGAAAAGTAAAAGGTTTCGCAAAGAACATGAAGGAAAGGACGATAGTCATGGCCTTTCTCCCGGTGGTCACTGCAAGGGAGCAAAGAAAAACAACAACAACTTTTACTTAATTACAAAGAAGAAAGAAAAGCTTAATGGATGCGAGTTACCAACATGTCCATCTATTGTGTTTTGCAATACATGTTATGAATTATGACTCAATACATTACAAATAAATGCCTGGCCAGAATGAACAGGATGAACAAACTGGCGCACTGACCTGTGACTGCGACCAGCGCGCCAAAGAGCTTGATCAAGGCGAGCACGAAGGAGATGCCGAAATAACCCGTGAGAGAGAAGACGAAGGCGTAACCGTACGTTTTCACAGGGTGCTGGGAAGGGAGGGGAAGATGAAAGAGAAGCAGAACGTAAAACCGCCTCCTGCGGATGCTGCAACATCATCAGGACTTCATGCAAAGAAAGCGTCTCGTGAGAACATACAGCTTAAAATCAAGCACGAGAGGAGCGCGCTAGTAGGAGGTATTCATTTGCATATCTTAAAAAGAACTAGAAGTATCTCGTGTCCGTCTGCAGCGGCACTCACCTCGGAGCAGAACGCCACCGCCGGCCCCAGTCCCCCTACGCAGAGCAGGCCGGTCAGTATGTAGACAAAACCGATGGAGTACGAGTACAGCACCTGTCGACACAGCGCCACGTGAGCGGTCAGTCACATCACGCAATTCTCACAATGCGGTGTGCGTCTGATGACCGAGTCAAGCTGCAGATTGACTTATGGACTGGAAACCGGGTACCATTTCAGAGTTGGAGCCATTGTGGAGCTTCATGGCTTTCTCCTGCACGTTTCCGATAGCGGCGTCCGCACACAGCGCCATGGAGATGAGGAGCACGCCTGTGTGCCACAAAACACGCATGAACACACAACCTTCCCAACGCACAAGCGCGTCACGTATTTTGGGCTTGAGCTGCGTAGAGGCTCTTGGCCTCCTCACTCCCGCATTGCACGTATCCCCTGGAACAGAGCGAGGTTACTACCTGTGGCGTTGAAGTTGGGCGCCACTTTGCTGTCTGCTAGCGTGAACCATACGAGTCCCAGACTCATGCAGAGAGCGGCGGACACGTCAGCCACGTTATAGCGTTTCCCTGGAAAACAAAACCCACGGCGGTCAGCCATTTGGAAACGTTGAAGAGACACCGCGACTTCTAAAAATCGACTAAAGTAAGTTTTAGAGATCAACTGGTGAAACTTCCAGAACGTCACAAGCACAGAGACATTAATCCCAGACATTGCCTCAAGCTCGAATCTTCCAAAGATGGCCGAACTATTTTTACATACAAAATACGTTAGACAAAAAAAAATTATATATATATATATAATTATATTAAAAAAAGACTTAAAGTTTATACATTATTAGGTATTCTTGACAACTGGAAGTTTGAGACGAGGTTGCGCCTGCAACAGCACAGCAAAAAAAAAAGAGCTAAAGTTTGGACGAAAAAACAAAAGGAGTCTAGCGAAAACATTTTGACGGACGGATGCCTTGAGGTTGACAGGGGGACGCAGCATCAGGTCGACCGCGGTCGGCTTTGATTCCCCGACTCCCCTTTGAAGGGCCTCACATCAGATGCAACCCCACAACCCTCCCTCCATCCATCCCTCGCGCCCACATTCTTTCCTCTTTGCATTCTAAGTGAGTAAATTCTGTTTTCCACTCGACCCCTTGAGGGACCCCGGCGCTCACATCTATCCATTGAGAGACCCGGCAAGGCTCGTTTCATTTTTTTCTTTTTTTATCCCGCAAAAACCTGTCTGACGTTGAGGACACGGGAGCTTGAGTGGGCCGGTTGTGAGGATGAAAGGACAGACAGAACTAGTGCAGCCGACCGGGCTCTGACAACCGAAAACAACAGGCAGATAAAAAGGAGGCACCCAATGTTGAAAGGCGGTCATCCCTTCAGAGGGAGCGTGTGAGATGACTGAAATGAGGTGTAAAATGTACGCCTACCTGAGATGACTGTTTAAATAGTTAGTAAAGTCCAATAAGGACAACATGGATTTCATTAACATTTCCATGGATCCCACTATCTTGTGAATTGTTACTTAGCAGATGTTTTTTTTTTATTCTCCAGGATTAATATCCAACGTCAACTCCAAGCGCAATCGTCATCGAAATTTGTGACAAATTCACATTTGGAGGTTAAGTCCTTATGATAAAAAATATGGCATGTTTGTCAACTGATTGCAATAAGGAATCCAGGTGTAGCGGTATTCCAGAAAGCAGGAATCCTGAACTTAAACATCCTGGGAGATTCAACGCTGTGATAGACGAGCCAAATGAGACATCCAAAACCCCCCAAATGAAGTGTCAAGAGGAGATCCAATGATTTCATAGAATCAAACACAGAATGAAAGAGATTTAGAGCCATAAACACAGCGAAAGAGCACTACACATCAATCACATGTTACAAAGGATCAAAATATTATCACACAAGCTAAAGTTTCATTTGTAGCATCTGTGTAGAAATACGATGAATGAGCTCACCTTGTATAAACACCCCTCCAATCATGACTGGGATGAGTTTACAGCACTTAAAGATGACCTGTGTCGGGTAGTTCAAGTAGCCCAGGGAGGTATTGGACAGGCCCATAGTGCCCACTGTTAGGAAGGCTATGATCATATAAGTTTTCCCCGGAATCCTGGAAGACAGGAAAATATACAAGTAGTTGAAGGACACATTTTGGGGACAGACAGATGTGTCTCTTTTAGATCCAAAACATCATCTTTCATTTGGGGGCATGCAATTATTCACCTTCTGCGTTTATCCTGCGTGAGCTGAAGCTCCACCAGTCCAAACACGGAGTAGAAGCCAAACTGGATCAGAGTCAGGTACCAACCGAAAGGCTTGAATCCTTCAATGGAAAATATCAGCTCCTGGATGGAGGGCCAAATAAATTAATCACAAAGAAGCCCGTCTTGTAAAATGCAAACTTAAAACTACATTTGCCTTACTTTTCGAATCTGCACACAAATAAACACACAAAGCCTCCTCAACCGCACACTGTGACCTTCACATTTGTTCGTTGTCTTTCTCCCCGTGTTACCTGCAGGTATCCATAGATGAGGTAGAAGAGGAAGACTCCAGCCACACAGATCAAGAACTGCGTGGGGGGACTGAAGCTGCTCAGGTTGATTCCCAGGACCCTGAGCTCCTCCACGGACTTTATGTGGGGCGACATCACCTCCGTGGACGACGGCATGGAGATGGAAATGTGCTTCCGGGAGCTGTTGTAGCTCACCAGGCCGTATTTGGCACTCATTGCGCCTGCGGCAGCTGCAACCTGCGGGTGAAATATAGAGATATTGAGGCGTTAATTATTTTTTCCTGCCTGTGTCTTCACAGCGTTAATGTTACTTTTTGTCTGGAACAAACCCAGCCCGAAGGTAAACTTTCATCATCCCAGCTGAGAGCTCTGCTTAGATAGTGATCGTTCCGACAAATAAAAAAATAACCATCGTAAAAGTGCTGTATGGAGTTAGACCTGTTCAACTAGTTGCGTCTGTGAATCAGGCAGATGATGATGCCACTTGCTGTGTTTTTGAATGGTTGTTGTGAATCATGTTGATGCAAAGAACAGAGGACACAAAAGGGGAAGCGATCACACATCTGTCGAGCACCCACTTGCATTAATGCTGAAAAAGCCTCTTCAAATGTAGAATTATCTGAAAGATCCTATTCTGATTTTCGATCTATAATATGTAACGTCACATTGTTTTTTCTGCCAAAGCTTCTGGTTAAAACGTCGATAAACACACAATATATGCAGCAAGAGCCCCAACAAACAGCATCACATTCAAATCAAAGCGCCTCGCTATATTTAGAGTATGATTCAATTGTTGAGGAAATGTATGAGAGCTATTGACGTTAGCGCTGCTACATGAATTAGCTGGTTGCTAACGACTTAAGCGGAAGTTGTCCTTTGACTACCGTTAGTTAGCATAGATTACGCATACGGAGATATGTGGTAATCCTAATAATCACGATCCTCATATAAGCCGATTTGCATTAGTGATGTATTTCATTTCCGGCGCTTATTTCAACATTAAAGGCAAAGCTACCGCAGCAAGCTCGTTACATCCAACAGCACTTCCGGGTTCTCTACGCTGGCGTATCCGCTTCTTCAGAGGCGATGCCGTGGACAACCATTGCCAGGGACGTCACGTCTTCTTTTTGCGCACATTTTGGGCGTTTTCATATTCTTCTTTTGCAGCGACAACTCGCTGAAAACAGGTTGATACGCGTGGCAGCCTGCTGAAAGCCGCACGCATCGGCAGCGGTGGAAGGAGCGGCCAACAACTTCCGCTCCGCGCTGACCTCTGAACTGTGACGCTATCGGTCCGTTCAGCCGCACGCTGAGTGTGAGGTGAGTCACTACACGTCACCGGCTTAGTATGCTTATATATATATATATATATATATATATATATATATATATATATATATATATATATATATATATATATATATATATATATATACACACACATGTATGTACTATTATATACTGTCAGTGGAACGAGGGCGATGTGTTACCTGCTCTGAAGGATCCATCAGCTTCACTGTGAGTTGGCATTTTACTCACAGCACGTGAGCATTATGAAAGTTTAGCTAGTTAGTCCAGATCAATAATAATAATAATACACTTCCCTCGGTATTTCTTGTTAAGCATGTATTTCTTGCATGATATTATTTGTTTTGTGGGGAATACCAATGTATGGATATTATCGTATTTGTCCCACAGCTTTTGTCAACATTAGTAGCTAGTTGGCAGAGTGGGATTCATCATGAAAAAACATGTCATGTTTTAACTACCAAAATATATGTAATTAGGTCGTTATAGATGAGCTATAACATTGCTGGTTATACATTCAGTAAATCATGAACATGGTTTGAAAATACTCAACCTGGTTACCTGATCTGTGCATGTATGGAGCCAAATCCAGTCCAAGTTTTGATCATTTGAAATAGAAAGTTGAACTTGAAAGTTTGACTTTTGAATCCGCAACATTAAAAAATGCAACAATATAATCAAAATCAAAATAATTGAATGAAAAGTATTTTTGGGTCGAATATCATTTTGATTAAATTCTTGAATTGTTCTCAATAAAATATTTATTTTCATTCTTCAGGTTCTATTTTTCTGTTGCAGATTTGACTTTTTCTGATTCAAATTTTATTTTTTCAAGTTTCAATTGTTTTTTACATTGAGACTCTTGGCCTTGATGTGGCGTAGAGAGCATGGCATCAACTGAGACGGGCAAGACAATTTACACCAGCAACATATTTTTTATCAGCAAGCTGTTTTGCATCCTACTTTGCACAAATGGCAGAATAAAAGCCATGAACTATGCCAGATTGTACCGTTCAACCACATACACGTTTTGCAATTTCACACCCCACTGTGACCACAACGTAGTGTCCATGCGATGGAGTCCGCTCCACCCAATCACGTGAATATGGTGTCCAGCAATACACACCTAAAGTATAAAATTAAAGGAACCCTCGCCGTACCTGCAGCTAATTCTAGGTAAAGAGACTAGACCTCAGCCTGATGGCCTGAAAGAACCCGATCGGATTGTATGCATGGTTTGAACTTCTCGCTCAAGATCTATTTTTTTTATTTGTCTGACTGTGTGAAAGTTATTCTCATATTTGAACTATTCTAACATTTAAACATTCTAAAAGTGCATCGCCTTGGGCACTATTTCAAAGTTCAAGACCAAAACTCAAACTTTCGGGTTCACTTTTCTTTTCCAAATGATCAAAACTTTTGGCCTAGATTTGGCTACATATTCATGCTGCTCAATCTGTAGTGAAAAATATTACCACAGCATTGTATTGAGTATTGTGGAAGGTACATTTTGAAGTCATGAATGAATTGATTAAATGCAATCTCGTAAAATTGGTTCATTGCTATTTGGTTGCAAAAAGAAGTCTGAGAAAGTGACTCTTCTTCTAACTTGATTTATTAACCTAGTAAAACTTTGTAAACATGAGTTCATGGTCTCATTCACTAATTGCACGTCTCCTTTAATACACCATTGTGCCCCTTAAATGATGGTCCCATTTAGATTATGACAGAAGAGATGATAAAGCAGAGAATACTATTCTACTTTCTTTTGTCGCTTTCATTAAAAGGTAATAGTAACATTTTTGGTTGCCTAAAAATGCAGCATTAGCTTGTACTGTATAGCCTTTTCCATATTTATAATATGACACCACTGACAGCGTATATTCTGCTTTCATGTTTGGTAGTCAGTGAACAATCTGAACCCTATAATGCCAAATGTCTGTCTGACATTGGAAATAAAGGTGTGATTAAAAATTGCATTAGAGAAAATCCGAATATGATGACCATGGAGTTCACGTCTCGTCTTAACATTGGCTCTAAGCTCTATTCTATTGTCCAGATGCCATCAGTGCCTTCAACTTCTCCACCTTTCCTCCTTCACCTCCTCCCTCCAATTCCCTCCGGACTGCCCTCTTCTTTCCCGGAAACTCTCTTCCTATCTCACCGTTGTAATCATGCACATATATGCTTCTCCCCCCCCCCCCCCAAAATCACTTTCTCTCTAAATCCTTATTGGATTATTCCCTACTTTCCCTGCTTCTGTTCTGTCTCTCGGCCATCTCATATCCCTGTCTATTCCTCTTTTAAGGCATGGAAATCTCTTCTGGCACTTTCATTCCTCTTTGAGCTTTCCTTTCTCCCTGTCGTCCAATCTAAAGTCCCTCCCTCGGCCCGGCTAGTTTCTTCTCTCCCTCTCTCGCTCCCCACTTCTGTCCCCTTTCCCCAGCCAGAGGTTAATACACTCCAGGATGGCATTATTTCCTCCCCGGCCCCTCTCACAATATAAAAATTCAGAATGGACAGCTCAATCCCTCTTCCATCTCAGATTTGATTGTAATGGTATTGCCTCCTGTCCCTGGGAGGCCCCTGCCTCCTCGCCAACCCGGCCTTTATGACACTAAACGGCCGGGCCTCAATTTTTCCATCTATTCAAAAAATTCTGTTAATAACTCATTTGGAATGGGACGTCTGCACTCCCTGGGCCGTCTGCGGCCGGGTCCCTCACCCCTCTGCTGGCAGGGGTCACAGAACACGGAAACAAGATGCTGGGCCGGATCGCAAATGTAAAAGGTTAATTAATCTCTCTGAATTTACAACCCTCCCCCCGACCCCTCCAGTCCCTTTGCACTCCAATTGACAGTCCCAAAGAGACAAAAATGTCACATTTACAACCTCGCATGGAGAAAGTGCTCAACGAGGCGGCGCAGTCGAGCGCAGGCGCACGACCGTCCACCACTTTTCCCCGTCTCCCAAGTCCAACTTTACAAGTGTGCCCATTCATCACGCGTGATGGATTCATGCAACAGAACCCATTTCCTGTTCCCATACGATCCTATTAAATAATAAAATAATTATTTATTGGATTATTCAAAAAGGTACATATGCGCGGGTAATGGCTCCACACCACTGGACCCGCGATAAATAAAGCAGGCGGGGAGAAGGCTTTGGAGAGACGGAGGGAAATAAAACGGGGAGGGACCGGGAGGGAGAGACGGGGAGAGACGGGGAATGAAATGACTTTTGAACCAGTGAAATCTGGATCCAATATGGCCTCTTGCAGCGCGGATCAGGATGGACATTATTCAATCTTCAGGAAGCTCATATGGGATCGTGACCTGTGAATGGTTCTGATATACTAGGCGGACCAAAAGGTCCCGGAGAGTGTCCCGCGCGTTTTTCTCTCCGATTTTGAACATTTGAGGACTTATAGACCACAATACCGATTTATTAAATTGATAAGGGAGGATATGCGTTTTTAAGTTTTCCATCATTCTGGGCTAAAGATGTGTGCTAATAATACGATTTTGTGAGATCAAGCGAGGCTGCTATTTCACCTGAACGCACATAATGAAGGAGTCTTAGTCGTCACCTCCCTCCCCTCTTCATTAAAACCTCTTTAAATTCAGGTCCGCGTAGAGATGAGACTCAGGAAATCCTATTAATGCCTTTTTGAATCATTAACAGGCATCTAAAATGTTTGTTCTGGAGCTTTTTGTGGCAGAACTGGACTCCTCAGGCTTTAGTGAGCTCTCCAGCGAGGTCCTGGTGATAACGTTACTGTTTTCTCTTCTTTTATACAAACACCGTCCTATAATGATCCTTCACATATATGTTATTCCACATTAGAGTCACTAACCCCCCCTTCCGTTCCCCAGCGTGGGACGGGTTCAAGACCTCAGTATTAAAACCCATTTGTGTGTGTTTTATTCTTCAGCCAGAAGAGCCGCGCTCCCAGGTAGTATATACCCGGCCATCTCGTCAGCCCTCTGCCTGGTCTGGGAAACCGGATGACTTTTTGGATTATCTTTCTTCTCAAACCATTAATACCCTCTCCCAAGTGTTTTTTTTATTTATGTAGGCCCGGTGTTTCTTCACCCCCCCCTTTCCTTTTCTCGGCAGGCCCCCCCCCTCCTTCTTTTTCCCCCCATTCCCCTCTTCTTGCACCCCCGGCACAACCCCAACCCGTTCACGGAAGGTTTGGAATTTTAAAAATACGGTTTTTTGCCCATCGGGGGGGGGGGGGGGGGGGGCAAGAGGTGCGCGGCGGGTCCGACCTCTTAGATTCGCCATTTAATACGCCTTCGCCATGAGACGGGTGACTTGGTATCAGGGTGGGGAGTCAATTGGCATTCAGTAAACATGCATTCAATTCAAAGCAGGACCTCATAGTCGAGATAGAAGCAGCTTCATAAGAACGTTATTTGAAAATGAACTATATGCGCTGTATTGCATGTGAGTGAATTTGACTCTGGTTGCCATGGTTTTTTATTAGAGCTGTAATGATAAGTTGGGGTAGCTGGAGAGAATTGGCAGAATAGGAACTCATTTAAATATTTTTTCTATACAAAACATTTAACGGCTCCGTCACCTCAAATGTGAATATTTGGGAGTTTCCTTCGTCTTGTGCCAAAGTAAACTGGTTCTCTGTGAGTTTTGTTTGTTGGACCAAGTTTGAACGCATTAACTTTGTGCTTTTGAAAGTTGCAATGAACATACTTCTTTTCTGACGTGGCCATTCAGAAAAACATTTGTCAAATGCAATGAAATGATTATAAGAATAGTTATTTTAATCTAGTTTTTTTGGTTTAAGTTAACTTTAATTAAGCGAGTTGAGTCTGACACCTCATACGTCTTATCACAACTTCAGATACACATTTGGTAAATACACCAACTACTCTCTAGCAACTACAATGTCACTGCAGGATTCAAACTCAAACAGTCCTTTGTACTATTATGGTGACATCATTT